ATACGGGCTAATTGTATTACCACCTTTACTGAAGAAGGCTGGATCACGATTCTGTCACTAGTATTAAAACCCGTTGATTTTGCGGCAATAAAATAGAGAAACGTACCGAGAACGCGACGATAAAATTCATTCGATCCTCTAATGGAAGCACTATCCAAACATAATACAAGTATAATCCTCCCATCCAAATATAATACTTGGTTATTTGCAAATCACTACCTTCAAATGTGAAATGAACTCCCCCTCCCCTCCCCCCCACTGAATTTTCACGAATGTAAATTTTGAAACGTACCGATGTGCAGGAATTCGGCAATTAATTACATTCTCCAAATCTACCGTGAAATCGACAGATTCAGTTTCGTACCGTGCAAAAATTAACCACCAAAGGGAAAAGGAGATTGAATTGAATTGAATTCTTCGGCCGTGAAACTATCCGGAGAACTATAAACTCGAATTACTAGCGCAACTACCAGGGTGGAAGAGAAAGAAAAGTTTACTTCGTCCATTCCCGAAATTTCCAATGGGTGCCAATTTTCAATTAAACAAATAGTCAATTTAACATCGACGAGAGAAACAAAGCAAAACCCAGTGATTAATGACAGGAACGTCTGCTTTCCAATTATGTAACTCGACCGTGGACAAAGCGGCTGATTTTTCGAGCAGATATCAACGAGTCGCAGAGATATTTAATTAAACGTTCAGGATGTTGTCTCGCGAACGGGGAAAGGGAAAGAGAGATCTCCGGATGGTTTGGAGAAAGGTGGAGACAGAAACGACGGACTTCCGCCCGGGGGATCCAAATGCGAAAGATGAACGGGCCGTGATACCCGATGATTTGATAGTTAAGGAACTTTTGAAAAGTTGCAGCTCCTTGAGAGAGCACGCGCGCCGCCGTCGGTTACTCTTGCACCGGTTGAAGAGCGGCCCGGGACCCTCTTGTTTTCGACCGACTGGCTGAAAAGAAAAGTTTACCTTGTCCGTGATTAAAGGGGAGAAAACTTATCTCCACTGATCTACGCACCCGGCTAGCTATCTTAGAGAGCATCCGAGGGAGAACTTGGCGCAACGATAATGAGATTTCGAATCAGAACGAAGGATCTTCCCTATCTATCCATCTATCTATCTCGCTCTAATCTTCTCTATCTCGTTGACATCTTTTCTTAACTGCAAGAGTGACGTGAACTAGCTCATGATGTGAAATTCACTCGATACCTTGAACTGCTATAATTTTTCACACGCACGAGCTTCTTTTCAAGCGTAAAGTTTCTTCATCCGAGTTTGTTTCTCTTTTCTTTTTTTCAAAAATATTTTAACATCACGTGGCGAAAGAAAAAATTGAGATATTCGCCAAACCTCAAACGTAAGAGAAGTCGCTTTTTTCTGCGACTAAAAATGCCATGATTTTAAGGGCTGAACAAATATTGCTGTACGATTCTTTTCACAATTTTACTGGACTTGGAATGTTAGTATAGATCACTGTATGTCCTAGTGTGGATAATCGAGTGAACACGAATTATTTCTAATATACTTTTTGGACACTTTCGCACTGAAATTTTAAGCAATAACCCTGAATAGTGGAACCAGAAACTCGCTTAAATATTTGAGAGTTAAGGAATCTGATATAAAATCACGAGGGACTAACTAAAACAAAAAAAAAAAAATGCAATGACATTACTTTTAAAACTTTATTCTGGAATTTATATCGTCTTGTAAAATAAATTTAAATAAATTTAAATAAAAGCAAGTTGTTTCCTTCAAGAGAGTACTGAACGTCGATCATATGCCAAGAAATTTTTATCTACAAAAGGAAATTTAAAAAAATCTCCCTTTCGAGGAAAGTCAGTAATTCGAAAACAATGTCCGAGAGAAAATTCGACATTTCTATGGAAGCTCTGCGCTTTAAACTGCGAGGAGAAGTCTTTCTGGAAATCTCGAGAACGGACAGGGGTCGAATACGAGAGAGCCGAGAGAGAGGAACGACTTAATTTCAATTTCAAGTCGCGGAAGCCTTCCACGGGATTACGCTTCCACGGGGAAGCTCTTCTCACGGTGTAACCCAAATATTTATCACTCTGTGTAAAAGTTTTCAAAGGTCACACCGCTTCTAAAACAACCAGAAACGTAATCCATTCGGATTAAATTCTACTGGCAAAAAAACGCGAAACCATAGGAACGTAACTGACATTCTTCATGATTTAATTACATTCCCTGGCCCGCCGCAAACTTTATCTGCGTACACATTCTTACCCCATAAAGGGGCTAAGTATTTGCAAAGCCTGCTATTACCATATCACCAAATGAAAATTATTTTTCTCGACTCGAGTAATACGACGGTGAATTGCAATCGAGAGGTTCGATGGATAAATCTTTTTCACGCGAAAAAATATTTTCCGAGTAATTTTGTTATAAATGACCAAACGACATACGAAAATCTGATTCTGGTCTAGTTTATGGCGTCAAAGCACTCTGTGCATCAAACACTTGACATAATGTCTTTGGTGATCTTCAATTTGATTATGATAATATCATTGATTGTAATATATGAATTACAATTCATATTTATTCACTGAGATAGGTTGATATACTTTCATTTCATCGTGATGATAATAGGATAGCAATAATGGCGATACGAATTAACCATACCCAAAAGTCGCATAAACCGAAGCTTATCGACGATCACAAACTGAGCTAATTTACACATTGTTTCGTATAAAAAAAAAAAAAGTAATATTACGATAATGAACATTTCACATAAACTACGTAAAACAAACACCATAACCAGAGCGCCGAGTATAACAGAATTTAACAAACAAGTAAGTAAAATGCCATGCATGTCGATTCTTGATAGACAATCGGCCGAAAGTCGAAAAGAACGGAAATCGCAACGAAATCTAATGAACGAAGGATAGTTGTCCGAGTCGGGAGAGGCGACAACAGAACGGGAACAAATTGACTTTTCCAATCATAATTTACACGGGCTTGAACGAGGGAGGAGAGGGGGGGGGCGGAGGGCTCGATTAATGCGCCGCATTAAATCAATTGCGCTAATGCGGCCTGCTGCATAAATACGTAAAGCTCGTTAAAAACAAAAATTAATGCCCTCCGGTCGCCTCGGGACACGAGGGGAGAGACTGCGAAATTCCCGCGTTTCACGGGCCCGCGATCGTTAAGTACGGCCGGCTAACGAAATTATCGCCGCCCCGGCCGCCATCGAAATCGAAATTAACATCAAAGAGAAAGGCTCGGGCGCCCACCACTCCCCGTTGGCCCCCTCCTATCGATCGAATCTCGCTTGCTCCATGTAGCCGAATGCAAAAATCAATCGACGGCTAAACGTTTTCGGGCAACGTCGGCGATAACGTACGCTCGATTAGCTCGTTGATCGACAGCGTACTATCCGTACCTGCAGCTCTTTTTCACGAAACACGGAGAGGGAAAATAAACGAGTGCGCGCGAGGCGTTCCAGTTTCTCTAGTTGAGGATCATCGATACGCTTTGGGGTAATGAACGAGAAAAAGCTGAAAACTGGAATGTTACTCAAAGATGACAAGAGGTTGGTCGATTTTCGGAGAACGAGAACATTAGGACATTGTCCTAATAATTGAAATCGTTACGGTTTACAGCTAAATTATCATCGAAATTTAGATGGATGAAGATTTAGATTAATTTCAGGTAAATTCTTGTTAAAATTCAAAGTGTTTGATTTTCTAATTCATATTTCTCGCGACTGAAATTAGTTACGAGATTGTTACACTGTTAAGCGTAATTAATTTGTAGATTATCAAAGTTAAAAGTGAAAGTCAAACGTCTCGATATAAAAATCTACACTCTGCAGAAAATCAATATTTCTAATTGTAAGATTAGAAATCTAAGCTCATAGTTTGTCAAGAAGAAACCTTAGAGAGAACACCTTATATATGATACATCGATTTCCACACGATTGAATTTTAGATTTTTTTTTTCGATTTAGATTACATTTTCATTTTTCTTTCTTTATCACAAACTGTAAGTAACCTGCGACGCGATTTGAGGTTTAATTTTTTGGGAGCAAAGAATACCCCTTTCAAAGAGCCCGGTTCGGACAGCCATAAATCTAGGCGAAGTCAGGCTGACGCCGGTGAAAGGACGTAAATTTTAGGAAAGAGGTGTCCAATTACCAGAACGATGCGTTTCATTGCGCGAAAAAAAAAAAACCGCGGCAACAGAACAACCGCCGGTGAAAGTAACGAGAAACGCCGATTTAACTGGTCCCGTTTGCGACCGGTCAATTGAACCGTCCCTATTTTTCGATGCACGGAACAGCTTCGAACGATCCGCTCGCCCGTTTCCCCGTAAATTGTCATCCGCGATTGTTCGTTCCTCCTACGTGAATCTATTACCCGCAGCGCGAAACCTTCGCGGCAGCCAGTTGCATCGCGACGCCCATCCTATAAAGTCCCATAAAATGGTACCAAGTTTGATTGTACCTTACTCGCGCTGTTCATCGACGATGCAACCACAATGCTAGCTAATTTCGCCAAGTGACGCATTACTAACGCGTTCTGATATCGATAAGACACCGATTAACGAAACGGGTTAAGATCGACGCGTACAAAATGTCGATTACTGGAATATTCTGTGTGATGTTTTTGTGCTTGAAACATGAATAAACGTAGCATCGGATGACATTGCCTATTGTCGAATATCTGTTTGAATATTTAAGTTGCTTTGAGACTCGACTCTAAAAGTGATTCTGAAATGACGTAGCGCTGACGAATTGATTCCAAAAGCTGATTGAAACCTGTGGAAACGAACAGTTTGATTGGTAAACTTGTCGATTTATTTGCATTTCGTATTCGTCGACCTAATTCGTGTTTTTTCTTTAATGTTAATTTATTTTCATGTCAATTTTTTAAATGTTAACATCAATTTTAATGTTAATTTCTTCTCGCGTTAATTTAATCTACTCTGTTAACGAGCTCATTTCGAAATTAAGAGCAGCATTATGCACAAAGACTCACCGGAGGAGAGTTTCGACCTCTGGAGCAGCCAAGTTTGCAGCGCCAGCCGTTCCCTGTGCCTGCAGAAGAACTCCGGCCTGATCCCGTGCCTCTTGAGGAACTCGTCGCACTTTCTGAACGCGGCCAAAGCCTTGGCCGCCTCGACCTCGTCGATGTCCGCGAGGACGTTCGGGCAGGAACTTCGCCTCGAGGACGAAGAACGTTCCTCGTAAGTTTCGTCGGGCAGGAGCATCCCCATTCCCGCGGGATAGGATCCCCAGGACCACCAGCACCGCTCGAGGATCCCCTTGTCTTCCTTTCGACAGCTGTCGTCGGTGTTCACGCCGCTCTGGCAACTTCCAGCTCGCGGCGCTCGTCCAATGCACATATTAATCCCGGCCCTTTGCCTCAGAGAAGCGTTTCTAATTGGCCAGGAAACGAGTCTCGAGCTGCTCCCTACAACTGCAAAACTGCGCTCCTCTTTCTCTCTATCTCTCTCTCTCTCTCTCTCTCTTTCTCTCCGTTTTTTCTTCGCCTTTGTCGCCAAGTTCGCGGGTTAATTCCCTTTTTTCCCGCAACGTGTTGATCACACACCCCTAGAGCCAAAGGGGCTCTTAATGGAATTTCATCTCGGATTAATAGGATTTCGTGGCGGGAACGCGAGCTCCTTCACGCGTGCCATCGTCGTTCCAGACATCTCGGTTGACCGATTCGACGTTTTTTTCCGACGCAGGCGACACGGGAGGGTTGCCCCCCCCCCCCCAACGACACCCTCGGTCTCCGCTTCTTCCAAATCGCTAATTGAATCGAACCCCAGGCGAATCGGTTTATTGGCCAGGAAGAGGCGTCCACACCTTCCCGCTTGGATGATAGTCAAGCCTCAAAGATTTCCTCCAGGAGCTGTTCGACTCCCAGCGGCTGCTGGCTGCGGACGTGGCTCGAATTCGAACACGTCCGTTCTGTAATCTTTCCGTCGTGAAATCGATCGTCCGCACGCCTGGCAGATATCAATATCGATCCCGACGATCACGTCGCAAGCGCTGATACCCGACGCTCTCACCCGATTCGACGTTTCGCGCCTCCGCTACGCCCGCTGTGCTCTGATGCTTTCGCTGTTGTTGATCGCGTCCAGAATCGACTTTCCAACGGTGCTTTCACGGTACAGGGGTATCGCTTACGCTCGACACAGTTCTTACGCGCCATCGTTCCTCCGGACGGAGACAACAGGTTCTCCAAGTATCCCTGGAAAAGGGAGAGTCACACGATTATTATGATAATATATCCGACGTCTATCTGCTCTTTTATCACGATTCCTTTTCCTTTTTAATTGCGGGTTTCTATGCATTCGTGGTTCAAAATTTACAGCCGCACAAATGCACGCGATACGACGACGTGCAAGGATATACAAAATATTCAAAGTACAACACTGCCTGCAACGTTTCATAAATGAAACAATTCTCTTTTTTTTAATTATCTTGAAAGAGAAAGTATAAAGTTGCATAAAAATCCGCGACTTAATCGTCTGAAATTGTTAGAGTTATTTGCAAAATCATATTGAGCATCGAAAGTAATTGATTCTCCTTTCTTTGCTAATTTTCTTTAATATTTTTTTTAATATCGATAAAAGTCTGAATTTCACAGGCAAATTTTACAAATTTCCATAGGGGTGAAATTAGAAATTTCGATTAGATTCGAATATATGCATATATTATATGTATGTTGTTATATGTGTGTATCCCTATTTCACGACTGCTGAAGAGCAAACTATATTCTTTCTTTTTCTTTTTCTTTTTTTTTTTTCTTCTTGTCATCAGTAGAACGATAGAAAGTTTCACGTTAATAATGGAACGCCTTTGAATATTCCCAGCGTGGAAATTGATACATTTCCTCGTTTATGAGACACAAATAAAACAACAGTGTGGCAAGAGTTATAGCGGATATTCATGGGATTATGGGAGACAGCGGTACGATTTAATAGCGCGATCATTTCCATTTTAGAGAGTTGGCCAACAATAAACATATTAACGATCGCTTTAACCATCGTTACAGCAACAATACACGTTTACATTCAACCACGATGCACGCTGACGCGTATTTTCCAAAATTTGCTTAATTTTTACACTGACCGCGCGATATTCCCTTCACGTTAAATTCTATCGTTTAATTATTTAAATCGACGTTTGTTTCTTTTTCTTTCTTTTTTTTTTTGTAAACATTTGAAAAAACATGCTCATTAAAAGCGTATCATTTTTTTCTTTTTTTTTTTTTCGTTTTTTGTTTTCGTTTCGTCCGTTTGTTTGTTTTTCCCGTTTCGTTTTGTAATCCCGTCCCAGTTAACTGGAAAAGATTCTCGTCCAACGAACGATGAGCTTGCGAGAGAGGCAAGTTCGCCAAACTTGTTTCGCCGTTTCCAAGAAAGATTAACCAACGTCGCCATACACAGAGAGAATGTAAGATGAAGCTAGATCATTAATTAACAAAAACACGGCGTCGATTCGGCTGGGAAAGTATCGCGACAAGCCGATCAGTAGCGTTGACGATCCTGCGACACGCGAACACGTCGTACATCCCTAGTCATAATCCCGCTTAATCGTCGATGAACATTATTGTCGTTTATGGGATCTTCCTCGATATTTTATGCAGACATCTCGCTACGTTATTTTCTACGTTAAAAAAAATAAAGTGGTGTATACGTTGATAAAAAGTCCCGCTATTCACTCTTAAATTCTCCCCTTTCTCTTCAAATTTCTAATTTTTTTAAATTTAAACCTCGACGAATAGCGTTGCTTTCGTGTAAAAAAGGAAAAAGAAAAATGTAAGTCATTAAATTAATTAAGCACTGTCAGCGTAAACGTCCGGAATGGGATTTCGTCCCCTCTTACTCGACTCGAGGTACACGAGCTCATCACTTTTCTATTATTCACAGATCGTCGAACCGATAACGTCGAACTGAACGTTCTAAACGCCATTCGAGATCGAGCTCGATCGTTGTAGAGGTACACCGTTACCTGGACGTCCAGTAATCCAGCGGCACGGGGTTCGTTATCGTGCGGAAACATTCATCAGAAAGTCCCATAGGAATCGTGACACGTTCGATCGCCGTGTGGACGTCGCTTTAAACCGCGATGCATAAACATCGCGATGAAGAAGAGGGAAGGGACGGTGACTCGACACGTGCCACCCACGGTGAATTACTGTATTCCGTGGATCCACTCGACGATCCGGGGGACCACCGGTAGTTCAATACACGAATAAAGATTGAGATCGGAATCTCCGACACCAGGAAACCGTCCGTTTCATCGAATCGATGCCTTCCTTTGCCAATCTCCCACGAAATCTAGTCGGCCGATCGACCGAATCGTCGTAGATCGTCCGAAGAAGGCTGGGGATCGATTTTTTCTTTTTGTAAATTAGCTTAGCCGCGCACGTAACAACAGCAAAGAATCCCACGTGAAAATATTGGTGAGTGATCAATTTATAACAAGCGTGAGAAACGTAGCACTTGAGATAATTACTCTGATTTCAAGTAATTTTAATAAAAAAAAATAAATAAATTCGTTTCGTACGTGTCATAAATCTAGCTGACTCCTCTTTACGCCAGTTATAAGCGAAAGATGAAATTTTTTTGAAAATGGAACAATGAACGAAACGGAAAAGTGGAGCTACCTTTTTCTTGCTGCAAGCCATTTAATTTATAATTTAATTAGTTTCTTAGAAATGTAGAGCAAACTGCTAGATAATACAGGCGTCAATTGAAACAATGAAAGTGCCATTTTTCAAAACGGAGATAAATACGAAGAAACGTTAATGTTCGTATAAAATCGACTAACGTTCAGCAGTTTGTAGTTCGAAGAAAGTTCAATTTACGAGGGAATGATTCTTATCTGTTAACGATCAAGACGCACGAGTAAATCGTTCGTCATAATAGTTGCGCTCGGTCTTTTGTTCGTACGTTCGAGTGTCTGACCTCGCCTCTGCTCGACGTCGAAAAGCAGAGCCCGCGGCGACAGCGCGGGAACCTCACGGCCGTCTGATAAATTTACGTCCAATGAGTTTAAAGCGCATTAGTGCGCGATAAATTTCGTCCTTTGCCTTACAATTCCCTCGGGCGACGAGAGAGAGAGAGAGACCAAGATCTAGGACTAACAGCTATACTTCCCTCCCTCGTCATCCATATTTTCTCTGCCTCGCGATTATTGCAAGACGGAACGTCCCAAAGTTTCAAACACCAGACTGTTGGAAAATACTGCTCTCTGGTTCAACATCTATGTATATACGATTTCGTCGCGAAAAATACTTTTATCTTATTCTCCGGTGTGAAGCTTTATTAACTTTCACGTTTCATTCTCGTAGGATTAATTTTTTGTGAACAACTTTTATTAATAAAAACGTAGTTACGACGAGTAAATTATTTTTTTTTTTTTTCAGCTAACTTAAACATTGAAATACCAATATTTCTTCTTTCAGATTTTCGCCTCGAATTTTGACTCTGTCTACATGCATTTTTACCATCTTGTACTTTGCGCGGTGCAACATCACGTTCCATGTTTGAGCTGTGATATTGTTATCGCGGAGAGCTGCAATGAATTATTTACAGAGCTTGGTCCTTAGACAGAGAAAAATCTCACGCGTGAATGTGTTACATAGCGTTTAACACGTTCATGAGCCAGTACGAAACGACAATGAAAATAAATACATGTATAATGAAGTAATACGGTAAGCGAGTAAAAGTCAAATTTTGGAGACATCGACGAAGAACTGATTCACCCACGAAAACGAAATTTTTGAAGATTCTACGTTACATTTTTTCGAGTATTTTAAACGCTCCAAAGAATTAATTCTCTCGAAACTGTGATTCCATCGACGATCCATCAACATACGATACAAAGCTCGTTAGCTTTCACATTTCATTCTCGCAGAATCAATTTCTTGTAAACTAAAATTTTTATTAACAGTTGCCACGATGAGTAAATACTTCCTTGAGTTATTCATTGCCGTAAATCTTGCCATAATGTTCTTCGATTTGGAAAACCAGCAGGTTCCAACAGATTTGAAACGAACAAAGAGAGCGCGCGAAATTTAATCCCCCAATAAAAAAAAAGTTGAAAAAAACAAAAATAAAACTAAAGACAGAAAATATTGTCTGGAAACCAGCGGAAACCAGCCGGCCTGTGTCTGTTCCTAATTTTAAACGGCGAGTCTAGCGTCGGAGGCGAGGCAACGTCTCGATTCTCGTAAATCGATAGCAGCACGGCAGTAAAGAGTGAACGAAAGCGCTGGCCACGCGAAAGTTAGTTTAACCGCTCGTCCCCCTCTCCGCCCCCCCCCCCCCGCCTCTTCCCGGAGATTTACCTTAGAACGCAAAGCGCTCGCGATAATTTTATTTCGCCGGCCGTGTAAGCCGTTCGGCGTGTGTCTCGCGTGTGCATGTGTGCGCGCATATAATATGCAACGCGGACATGGTGTATCTTGCTCTGCACCCTCGTGTCTGCGAACCGTGCGAAGGGAGGAGTGAACAGCCACGGGAGAAAATGAGCATGTAGAACAACCTGTAAAGCCCGAAAGCTACGGAAATTAAAGGGGGGAGGGGGGAGGGATATTTTCGACGGGATAGATGCTCTCGATAAGGAACCGAAAGAAGAACGAAACTGCCGATTTTGCCGACCGTAGCACCAACGTAGGAACAACGGAATAATCTGACTTACAGCCGTATCAGTCTACAGCAAATGACAAAAAGAGAGAGAGAGAGAGAGAGAGAGAGAGAGAGAGAGAGAGAGAAACGGGGGAAAAAGGGGGAGGGAGGAGAGGAAAATAGACATGGTGTCGTGGTAAGTGGAAAGAGGAAAAACGAGCAATACGAGAGACGGTATAAATAATTAAGGACAAAACAGAGCGAGAGAGGAGCGAAACCTGGTGGTTGAGAGTGGCGGGAGAAGGGATTAAGGTAGCGAGACAAAGGGAAATGAGTCCGTGGTGGGATAACGAATGGGCCGAGAGTTGAGGAGAAAACGAAAGAAAGAAGGTGATTGTGGTATTCGCGACATGGGGTGGGAACCATCCCAATTGCAAGGAGAGTTGGAGTTAACAGCGTCTGTTTAACCTCTTGCGCTGGAATAACGTGTCACGCGCGTCGAGAGGACGGATACACATATTATGTATCCCCAAAATGGCAGTATTTTCTCAGTTTTAAGTATATCTAAGTATAATCCGGACAAAACGGAAACGAATAAATAAAGTGACGT